GATTGCACCGCACACGCTTTACAATGCCAAGTTGTGTCAACGCCCCCTCTCCTCCAGCCACAAAGCAGCCAGGCAGCTGGAGCCTCTTACCGACATAGTAATACGTGAAGCACATGGTCATCAGGTTTTTGGCAGGGCCGAAGTCGTCCATCTGGTGACACCTGGAAATGGAGGGGGAAGAGATGGAAGGATCAAGCAGAGGTAGCCAAAGCAGTAAAACCCCATGCCTGGGTCCCAGGAGCAGGAGCATCACGTGGTTTGGGTCTGGGTCACACTTGTTATTGAGGGTCTCAACGTACCCCAGACACCCTGCATCCCCCCATCCTAACCCCCCCGGCTCCCTTGTCTGCATTGCACTCTGCTACTAGTAGTAGCGGCAGGAGGCATCTGCGGGTCTCACACCCTGCTAGACCCTCTGCTTTCTAGCCATGGTGTGCACGTTGCTCTCCCAGTACGTGGCTGTCAAGCTGAAGCACCTGCAAGCAAATTAGGAGCCAAGCAACCAGCTGGGAGCAAGGTGGGCACAGTGGCTGGATTGGGCAGGTCCCACCAAAGACGGTGCCCTGCATTTAAACAGGGCAGTGACACCAACCAGAAAGCAGCGTAGGGCTGAGGTTTGATTCAGCTGCAGCTGCTTTCCGGCAGCGTGGCGGCTTTAACGTGCCAGCAAGCAAGCACTCGGCCCCCGAACGTGTCGCTCTCCCAGCCAGCCTGACTTACTCGAAGAGCACGACGGCGAAGGACTGCACCAGCCGGTAGAAGGTCTGCTCGGAGACGCACTTGGAGTTGCAGCGCTGCAAGCACAGACAAAGCTGGCGTCAACACTGGGAAGGGCAGCTGAAACCGGGAGGCTTCCTCAAAGGCATGCCACCGAGCTGGCCTGGCCCATCCGGAGGGAGTTTCAAGCACACGGACGTGGTCTTGGAGAGTTTCTCCAAGAGGACTGTCAATTCGGGGCGCTCTCTGCAAGGCTCAACCTCCCCGAGACCGTGACGGACACATCGTCAGCACAGCAAAAGGCAGCAGTAGAGCAACAGCCTACCTTTGCCACGGCCCCCCCTGCTCAGACAAGATAGCCGCGCTCCCTCACCTGAGCGCTCACGTATCTCGCGAACCACTCCCGGCCTTTGCCGTTCTCGCCACTGCACAGCTCCCCGAACTTGGCCTTCTCCTCCTGGTCCAGGTCCTCTCTGCAATGGAAAGCACGTCCGCACTGAAACACATCCCCGGCTCCCAAGCCTGCGTGAGTTGGCTCAGAAAAGTGCAACGTGCGATTAACAGCACGGGAACGGCTCCCCGGGCAGGACGCCCCTGGATTACTGCTACTCCCCGTCCCTCCCGCCTACCCCTGGTCTCTGCTCCTCGATGCGGCGCTCCCGGATTTCATTGCTGCTCAGCTTTGCAGATCACTGAGCAGAGCACACTTGTTATGCAAGCGGCAACCAGGATCCCAGGGTGAGCGAAGAAAGGCAGCACTAGAAGAAGCAGGAAAATCCTACACCGCTCAGCTCTCCGCACCCCCTGTCCAAGGAAGATTTTGCCAACCAGAGTAGGGGCTGCCAGGAAGATCAAAGGGGCGGACAGCACATCTGATGGGAAAAGACTGGAGGAGCTGGGCTTCATTCGCCTAGCTTTGCTGTCTATAAATACACCAGGCACAAGCCGCCGGGGGCTACTTGAGCTGAAGGACAAGGCTGCTGCAAGAACAAACGGTTCTCGAAACCTTCAGGCTAGAAAGGAGGAGGAAGGGTCCAGCCTGCCAGAGCGGCACAGCTCTGGAGCTGCCTCCCGGGAAGAGGAGCTTCCTGATGGAGCTCGTTCGGGTGCTGGAGGGATGCTGTGATGTGATCCGTGACAGCCGCTAAGCTGTCTCAGCGGTGATTCATTAGCTCCCATCACCCAGGACGGGTGGGAGGCTGGACGACACGGGCCAAAGACGTTTGCAAGATGTTTGCCCCTGCTCAGGGACTGTGGTCCAGGTCCAGGCAGGAACAACCAACCACCCCCCACAGCGATGGGTGACCAGACCCTTCCTGGCCTGCTCTCCCGATGCTCAGGCCCCTCGCTGTGCTCTGCCCTGCTGCTGATGAGGAAGGAAGGAGCCACTCATTTCCAAAGCAGCAACGACAGAATTGCCCTCAGCAAAACGAGCGGCTCTGGCTCTGGCTCCTGGTCCAGCCTGATTTGCTCAGCTGCCTTTGCTGCATTCGACTGCAGCAGCACGGAGAGCAAAAGGCCGCAGGGGTAGCAGCACGGGTCCAGCTGGACGCATGCTGGGACAGGGCAAGGCAGGGAGGCCAGGTCACGGCACCTCTCTCCCTGCCCCCAACCCACACATGCATCCGCATTCACCGGGCAGTCATGCGGGGTGATGCGCTCTGGCAGCTGGGCCTGAGCCGGGAAGGCAGCACCAGGCGCAGGAGCTCAGGAGGGGACGTGCTGGTCTGTGCATCGCAGCGGGAGGAAGAGGCAGGGAAGGGATGGTGGGGGTGGGGGGTGCAGCATGTCTGAAGAGCGCCAGCGTAGGCATGGCCCTGGCAGCTACCCCAGCGAGAGACCCCAGGGGCCTTGGCCATGCGGCCAGATGCTAGCGGGGGCTTCTGGCCTCCACCCGTTTGGCTTGCACCATGCACCATGCACCATGCACCGTGCACCGTGCAGGAGAGTGGGCACAGGCTTCGCCCACTGCTGCGTCTCAGCTGCCATGAGGCCTGGAGCCCTGCGGAGGCTGCAGGAGGGCAGACCCCTGCCAAAAGGCCAGGGGCTTCATTACTCCCTCTCTGCTCCCAGCATGCACCTCTGCACAGGACACTGCACACCCCTGCCTGCCCCACCTCCAACACCCATCCCAGCATGCACCTCTGCACAGCACGACTACATCCCCCCACAGCTATCCCACCATGCACTGCTCCATGGGGCAGCCCCACCATTGCCCTAGCCCCTGCCCCATCCAGCATGCCCCTTGCTCCGTGCCCCACTCACCCGCCGGTGAAGATCTTCTCCACGTACTGCCTCATGAACTCCCGGCGCTGCGCCAGCACCTCGTCCTTGGCCGACTCGGTGCTCTGGTTGGAGGAGAAGGACTCGTTGGAGGAGGAGCGGCGGTAGCTGTTCCAGCTGGGGTGGCTGGGCGAGTCCCCCATGTCGTTCTCGCTGTCGGCCGACTCCGTGGCATCGCTCTCCTCGCCGGCGCCCGCTGGGTCCCCGGGGTCTTCCAGCAGCCCGGGGCCGCTGGGAGGGGGCACGGGAGGGGATGCAGCAGGGACATCGGCGGGCGTTTCGCAGTCAAAGTCAATGAGGTTCCCCACCGGCACGTCGGTGGCCTCCATGGCTCGGCGAGAGGGGAGCAGAGAGCAGAGACCGTGGTGGAGGCAGCGGCTGTGGTTTCCCTTTCACCCCTCACTGCGCGCCCAAGGCCGTGGGTGGCTCAGCAGCGGGGCGCATCGGAGAAGCTGGCGGGGGTCTCCACAGGGCTCTGTGCTGCAGGACGAGGCATCTGAAAGAGGCGAGACACAAGCATCGCTGAAGCCGGCGGCCCCAAGAGCTCCCAAACAGCCCCAACTAGGGACCCCCATATA